CATCTCGCCATCTTCTAATTGTTTTTTAGTTTTATGATGTGAGATTGACTGATTGTATGGGTTCTCAATTCCCTTTGTGTGTAGCGGGACAGTTCCCAACTTGTCCATGTACTTTTTCTTTCGTTTGAATAGAAGTGTTTATTTTTTCATGTCCATATAATTTTTTAAAACAACGGTTATTTGATTGTTGTATAAATTTTGCTCGAAAGTATGAAACTAAAGTTAGATAGCGTTTCAATGTAAAAATTATTACCATTTCTCTGAACTTTTAAAATAGTTCTAGGCTCTTAAGAGCTAGACTACTGTTTAAAATGAGTATTCTTAACTTATTTTAAACAACTCTGCCAAAAAAATCATGTCTCACAGACAATTGGTATTAGATTACTATTTCCCAGGACTTTAAAAACAGTTGTACGCTTATTACGCACAATTTTCTTAAAAACAGTTTCCTTTACTTATTATAGATAACCGTAAAAAAAATGATGTAACACATACTACTAGTAATACAGTACAGTTTCTCAAAACTTTGAAAATAGTTTTAGGCTTAATAGTCTAACTATTGATTAAAAAGGGTATTCTTAATTTATTATAGACAACTTATAATAGATTACGGTTTCTATGAATTTCAAAAAAAGTTCTACGGTTTATAAATACACTACTATTACAAGGGGGTCTTGTATTCTTATAATAAACAATTCTGCAAAAAAACCATATGGAATATACAACTAACAATACATTACAGTGATAAACCAGACTACTGTTAAGAAATAGAAGTCTTAACTAATTATTAACAATTGTGGAAATAAAAACTGTATTTTTTAATGAACTCGACTACTAATAATAGATGACCGTTTCTCGCAACTTCAAAAATAGTTCTACCCTTAATTCATAGACTATTGTTACAAAGGAGTATTCTATTCCTATTATAAACAGCAGTGGCAAAAAAACCATATGAAACAGACCACAAGCAATAGATAATTGTTTCTAATAAGTTTAAAAACAATTCTAGACTAAAAACCTAGACTATTGTTTAAATAGAGTATTCTTAACTTGTTATTGACAATTGTTGTAAGAAAAATTGTATTTTGAACTAACACAGACAACTAATGATACATTACCGTTTCTCGAAACTTTAAAAATAGTTTTAAAGCATAGCAGCTAGACTACCATTCCCAAGAAAAACTTAAATTACAGTAGTCTGTTTTTTTCAACTACTGTGTTTCCAAAAACAGTAGTTAATCAACAGTCGTCTGTTTTTTGCGTAGTGAATTGATTTAGAGATAAAAAATGAAACCTATTTATTAATTGATTTTTTAGAGAATTGAAATTTTTATTACAAATGAATAGAAAACGTTATTAAATTATGAAATAATATTATCTTAAAATTATCTTATTTATTACTCCCTCCATCCACAAATAAACTTCCCATTGTGCGTTACGATGTTTGACTAAGGTTTTTTTTAAATCATTTTATATGAAAAATGGTGTAAAATTTAAAACTAAAAATTACATATTAAAAAATTACATCAAAAGATCTACAAAACTAGAAGTGACATCACTATATTATTTTATCAAATGGGTGACGAAAATAGGCCAACAAAGTGAATAAAGTTTAACCATGTGAATAGTGAACGAGAAGTTTATTTGTGGATGGAGGGAGTAGTTAAAAGATTTTTTTTATAAATGAAAAGAGTTAAAAATACTATATTGAATTGGAAAGAAAATTATCATAAAAAAGAATTTTTCTTTTTCATAATTAAGCTTATTCAAAGATTCCATACCAATTCATTGAATTTGCATTTTATATATCTTAAATTAGGTGACATATTAGGTGTCAAAACAAATATTCTATAAAAAGTTTTAATAGGTGAAGAAAACATTTTATTTAATAGGTATTAAAATATATATAAATATAATCAAACGAATATAATGTAAACATATAATTAAAAAGGGTTTAACTTATGTATGGGTGAGGAGTGTATTTTATTTATTATTAAAAAGGGTTTTTTATATTTTATGATTTACGAAATTCGAGACGGGTATTGAAAATGTTTTTACGTAGAGTTGTGAAAAAATAATATGGTATTAAAGATAATAAATTTTAGGGAGAATGATTTTAATTCGAAATTTCGAGTTATGAGTTTAAAATAAGGAATTATCATTCTCGGAAAAGAGTAAAAAAAAGTTAAATAGTTGAAGAGTGTAAAATTGGTTAATATACTACCACTTAATATGCCGCATGTGAGGTCTTTAAGATGCGACATGTCAAGTTTTTAATTTTCCACATGTCAAGTTCTTAAGAATTGAACTCTCAAATTTATATATAAAGGAAATGATATATACCCTGTGAGATTAATGAAACATCCTCAAGTTCCATTCACAAATTTTACATGATATCAGAGCAAGAGTCTCTGTGTTTGTATTGCACCCTCCGATTATGTTGTGGAGTACCTACATAAGAGGTTTGAATGCACACACCCATCTCATCCTAAAATTGAGAAAGCGGAGTATTGAGAAATTCAGTCTAATTTTATGAACAGAACGCTTTGATAATCTTGGAATGTTGTGTATTGATCATGGCAAAAAACCGTTTTAGACACGAAGTTATCTCACTTTTGGTTTTAATAAGGTAGACCCAAAAAAAGGGGAATAATCATCAACAATAATAAGAAAGTAATGTGCACCAGAAGACATTCATGTAAGATAAGGCTCCCACAAATTGCAATGAAATAAATCAAACACACCATCAGCTTTATGAGAACTAATGAGAAAGGTCGAACGGGTTTGTTTAGACAAAACAATTCACAAGACTTTAATTGTTGGGCAATAGACTTATTTTTATTTTAACCAAGAAGAGATAAACATCTCATGATGGATCACTCAGATGTTGATGAAGAGTCATTAGGTCAATACCAGCAACAAAAGTTGAGGATGACATTGGTTTGAAAATGAATACTCCCTATCGGAACTCACTCTGTCCAATCTCCATCTTCGATGTAAGGTCCTATATTACACAAAAAAGTTCATTAAAAAGTACACAAGTACACAACATGCATTATCTCGAACAAGACATCTCACAGTTATCAAGTGAAATTGTAATGTAGGAACGTAGAGCATATTATTAATAACCAAGGTACTGGATAGTCTCACATCCCCTTTTCAAGTGGCATGAATACGAGTAGCACTAAGGAAATAGACAAAGTCTGGAGATACATCCTCCAAGGAAAACAAATGATCAAGATAACCTGTCATGTGATGAGAAGAACCACTATCAATTAACTAGGGTCAAGAGGACAGAGTCATACCTGGATAAGTGTGAGACGCAGAGGCCTCAAGCATGGACATTTGATCGGGAAGTGCTCCCCCTGATTTGCTAGAAGTAGCATGTGCGGCGGCCTTGCCTCTACTACACGCCGATGATAGAAGAGTTTTAAGTGGAAGTCAACCTTCCCAAAAGAGTCAGTTTTCCCCGAGTGTCGTGTCGCTCGAGGAGTGGACGGAGGGAATTAGCTAATTTTTCTAATCATGCAAAGGTTAGGATGAGTCTAAAATTCTTTTCAATTCAATTTGTGAAAAGAAATACTACACTACTGTGCGCTTTTGGAAGAATGAAAATAAATAGTACAAGTATAGGACTAGACTTTGGGTCAAGACATTTTCTAGCTAGGTTAACTACAATACTGCTGTCACTTTGGGCCAATGCATTATATAAGTTAACTGTAATTGAAAATTTTATTCTGAACAACTTTTCCTTCTGTGCCAATTTCAAATCTTGAATCATTCAAGAGATATGATTAGTTGTTTTAGTTTGGCTCTCATTTTATAATATTTTTTGAAGTCGTCTATCCCAAATATTTTTCCGAGCGAAATTGTATTTTGTGCCAACTCAAGATAACACCTTGTTTGGTTAGTCCATATTTTTTCTTCTTTTCTCTATTATTGCTCTGTAGCCTTACAGCTGTTCACTTTGACACTTTTATACTGTTATTTGATAGAATTTAGGATGGGGTATGGACAACTGGATTGGGCAATAAGATACTTGGATTGGTACCATGATAGAATTGGATTCAATCTTTTAATGTGGTTCAACCCAAGTGTCTTATTGCCCATTCAAGTTGTCCCTATCCCATCCTAAATTATATCATGGTATCAGAGCAGGTTTTTGCCCACCTCGTTTGTCAAGGTGCCCGTCTAGACGTTCATTCCTAGCAGCCTATTAGTTTGTAGCCCAGTTGTCTGTATGGAGTATGTACCTAACGGCCTGTGGCTCGTTTAACATGATTGCTCGTCTGGAAGTCCATACCCAACGACTCGTGGTCCTTTAGGTGTTGGGGCTCAAAAAAATCAAGGGAATTAGAGTTTATTTGCAAGTGGTCAACCGGTTAGATTCAAAATGGCCCGGTTGTCCACTTGAGGGGGAGTGTTAGAGTGTAATCCCACATCGGAAGTTCAGGAGCAAGTAATCGGTATATAAGCTCTTGAGTTGAACTAACTAATCGATTGGATTCAATCTTTTAATGTGGTTCAGCCCAAGTGTCTTATTACCCAATCCAGTTGTCCACACCCAATCCTAAATTTATCATGGTATCGGAGCAGGTTTTGGCCCACCTCGTTTGTCAAGGTGTCCGTCTAGACGTTCATTCCTAGCGGCCCGTTTGTCTTTAGCCCAGTGTTCCGTATGGAGTATGTAACAAACGGCCTGTGGCCCGTTTAACACGATTGTTCATCTGGAAGTCCATACTCAGCGGCTCGTGGTCCTTTAGGTGTTGGCGCTCAAAAAAAAGTCAAAGGAATGAGAGTTCATTTGCAAGTGGTCAACCGGTTAGATTCAAAATGGCCCGGTTGTCCACTTGAGGGAGAGTGTTAAGAGTATCCCACATCGAAAAAGTGTGAGAAAAATAATCGGTATATAAGCTCTTGAGTTGAACTAACTAATCGATTGGATTCAATCTTTTAATGTGGTTTAGCCCAAGTGTCTTATTGCCCAATCCAGTTGTCCACACCCAATCCTAAATTTATCATTATTTTACCCAACTTTTATTCTTTTTCAACAGAAACACAACTTTTGTGCAATTTTACAATTATGAATAAAAATGAAAATTTGTTTCAGTTGATCCAAAATTGGACAATAACACATTAATTATGGAGCAGATAAGTGCGTTCGAAACAGACTTATCAGCTAACAATGACCAACTGGTAGCCGAAGGTGCTAGCTAAACCTCATGGCCACAGCCACCTGACGAGGTGCCAAGACCTCCTCGAGAGGAAGATCCCTCACCGCCACCTCCCCTTTCATAATGAGCCAGAAAACCAATGAGCTCAAAACACGTCTCAACATTGTGATTAGTACGACCGCAATGGGAAGACACCATTTTGTGGGAGGATGGTGAGCGTCAAGTCGCAAAGGCCACAGACTCCGTGCAGTTATCACGGCTACAGATGATGCTAATGTGTCGTTCCTCTTTGTCGCCATGAAAATGCCATGTCGAGAACTAGTTCGGTCCTAATAATTTGAAATTGAATATTCCAAATTGCTCACTATTCAAACCAAGTAAAAAATCCACAGTTTTCTCGCGCCCAAGTTACATTCACATATTTTATACATATTTTAAACCCCTGCCCAGTCTCGACCTTAACTTATCCCTCGCCTAAGTTAATTGTACCATGCAGTTTTAGTTCATTGACTTTGAAGTCAAAAGTTTAAACTTTAAAGTCAATTATACTTACGAGGTGCAATAGACGTAGGTTGGGGGATGAGTTGGGGTCGGGACTAGGCGGGAGAAGTAGGGAGTTAGGAGGGTAGGAATCATCAATTTTATTAACGGAGCACCGTATGAGGGCAGTGGCTTCCGTGACCACTAGAACCTCGTGGCCACGGAACCTGGCCGTATATACAAAAGGTCAAACGATATGTGAATTTCAGCCTTTTGCTTTTTTTAAAAAAAATGTCGATGTAATTGAACGAGTTTATATCCATGTTTTTGTAGTAGCGATTTATTATCAATAGATTCATTTTGAAACATAGTTTTGAAATATTTTATTTTTATACTCCCTCCGTCCCTAAATAAAGTTCCTCTTTCGTTTTTTCTTTGTCCCTAAATAAACTTCTCTTTTCCCTTAAAAAACCTCTTTTACCCCTTACTTTTTCATACCCTACTTATTACATCATACCTTTTTACTAATAATCTACCTATCACATCTTACTTTAACACATCACATCAAGGGTATTTTTGGAAAGTCAACACCAAAATATCTCTCCCTTAAATCCTCAAAAAGTCAAAAATGGAACTTTATTTAGGGACGGAGGGAGTATTATATATTTATATATCAATAGAATTATTAATGGTTAAAGTCTTGAATTGAAGATCATAAAAAGTCAAAATGAAAAGTTATTTTTAGGATGGAGGGAGTACTAACAATAATGGAAAAAAAGTTCGAACAAAAAAAAAGGATTTTAGAAAACTTTTCTTGATGGAGGTAGTCCCCAAATAAACTTCTCTTTTCTCTTAAAAA